AAACAAAAATTTAAATGACAGGCAATGATTGCTCTAACATATTCTTTTGTCAAATTAAATTTAGTGCAATTAGAATGCACACCATGGGCTGGTCCTTTCTTACCATATGAAGGCTGCGATCCTGTCTTACCTCATTTGACTATACATGACATTAGAGCAGTGGAGCTGCAACCGTGCAACATTTCATACCTACTGAACTAAAATTATATGATTTAGAGCTGCATTATTTTAGAAAAAAATAGGACTTCTCCAGTCCAGCCAGGGCCAGCCTATTCAGCAGCTACAAAGCTACAAAATGATTAAAGAAAGCAGAAAAGCCAAAATTTTCAATTTTTGACTGAAAGGCTCCTGGGCTCCCCTTAACCCATTAATGCCAAGAATTATTTTCTGAAATTTTCTTTGGTATATACTTTCCTCACCTGTAAGAATAGAATATTATCACTTGTGAAGGTAATAAATATTTTTAAATAAAAATGTTCAAATATTTACTTTTTGTTGTATGTGAAAAATTATAGCTTGGTCCCAACCATCCCATTAGGATCCAGGCTAAATATTTCATGATGATGCCAAAATCTAAATCAGTAAATAACTTTAGAAACATTTTATCACGTAACATCATAAACAGCATTAAAAGTACTCACTTTATCGATAAAATTCTGCACCTAAATCATAAATATTATATTTATATAGTGAATTACTCACTTTTCTCTGCTATGAAATCAAGCCGTCCTGCCTGATACCAGTTTCTTATAATCTTTGTAATTGTATGTTAACTGAACAGGGAGTCCTACTGTCCTAGTCGACGCAGCTGCAGCAGAACCAAACGTTGCCAGAACTGTCAGAACATGTGCAAATGTGTATCAAACCTATGCATCCACTTGGATTATTTATTTGATCATACAATTTTATTATAAATCCATTTTTCCCGCTGGTTTCAAATGGAACCGCTCGGTATTGATGAGCTAAGATGGGCTGCTGGAGAACGGGCACTAATACAGCAACAACATCAACGTTGGCACATGGCGAACAAAAGATCCATCGCACGGCGCGGAAAATCTAGAGATCTCGAAATTTGAAAATAACAGGCTCGTTTGAATATTGATGACCAAAAAAATGTGCAGCATAGCTACACACTCGGTCCATCATTAAACGAAGAGAACCAACGCCACAGGGATAACCAACACCATGGAGGTAAGTGTAACTAGCACCACGAGGGTAACCAACATCATGTGGGTAACCAGCACTAATAGGGTAACTACCACATGGGTAACCACCAACATCGGGGTAACCAGCACCACGGAGGCAACTAGCAGCACGGGGATAACCAGCAACACGGGGGTAACTAGGACCACTAGGGTAACCAGATCATAGAATGGAATAAAAGTGTCGGCACTGAAGAAATAGGCCCATGGCCTGTTGTCGATTCTTGAACATTTCGTGACTTGATTTACAAGGGATCCGGCCTTTGGAACCCGATATTTTCATAACTGACGATTGATTGAGATAGCTGCTGGACTTATTGCCTGGTCCGTAATTTGCTGGGCATCTTAAGACTGAACGTATGCTCCTGAATAGCGTCGTCTAGTCTAGTCTAGTCTGTTCTTGAAGGCGTTCATACTCGGGGCGTCGACGATGCTATCAGGGAGGCTGTTCCACATGTCGTTGACTCGAAGCGAGAAGAAATGTTGTCGCATGGATGTGTTACAACGCAGTTTTTTAGTTTATAGCCGTGGCCCCTTGTGTTGGTGCTTGTTTCAAATTCTGCACGTCTTTAAAAACTCTCTACTATATTTTTGTCCTCTTCAAGTTCGGTTTTAGTTCGTGCATTTAATAATGGCTGGACAGAAAATAAAAAAGATAGTCGAAAAGCCCTCAACGACCTTTAGAGAAAAGCCATCTACGGCCTCTAGAATAAAAAATAAAACCAAATCAGCCCAGCTAGAGATGGAAGTTTGCAAGTACTGCAAAGAGATCTCTCTGAGCGAAGTCCATAACTTAATGTAGGGTATCCTACCTACATAATAACTTAATTAAGGTATCCTACATACATTTTTAACTTAATGTAAGGTATCCTACCTACATAATAACTTAACACCACAACTGAGACCTGCAGTCTGACACCGCAAGCTCAGCGGTGGGGCGCTCAGGAACAATCCCCATAAGGAGAGCGAAATCCCATAGGACTTCTGACGAGTACAGACGCACGTCAGAAGTCCCCCCTGAGGGGCCTCAGAAGTAACCCCTGAGAGGGGTAACTTCAGAACAGACTACAAACACACACGTTCGGAATTACTTTTTCCAAAAAAAGAGCTCGCTCATAACCTTACGACACTCACACTTAACTACTCTATCCTCATGAGCGAGATTCTCTACTAAATTTAGGCTAGGATATTATGAGCGCGAACTGCGTTTTGTAAGCTGATTAATGTCATCAAGCTTCTTATCTTTTTTTTGTGTCTCATTTTTTGCTCGCCTTCAAACTTATTCATAGATCCCTCTATATGAAACCTGCCGTCAAAGTTCCGCTGTACAAGACGTCACGACAACATCTTCGTAGAACAATAATAATAACGATGATAATAATAATATATTAATAACGTTGTTATACTCTTAATCACCGATTATCGCTGTCTACTCTTGCAGAGCCAACATCGTCATTTTGTCACATTAGATCCAACATCGTCATTTTGTCACGTTTGGGTATATTTTGTGAAAAAATTACTACGAATCAGTGAACCTTCTAATCATTTACCGACTTGCAAATCAGCAGCAAACCATTTTCTGCTGCAAAACAGCTGCCAAAATTTTCGTAATATCTTGATTTTAATCTTTTTAACACGCCATTTCTACAAGCATTCGTCACCGGTATGTAGCTACTGAGTGGGTCAAACTTCCACTCACATCAACTAAACTATTTGAACCAAAACTTGACACTATTTTCATTCCAAGGCTTTACGAAACATGAGTACATAAAATACACATAAAACTCCCACAAATATTCACGAATAAATAGCAGAGTAAAGTTAAGTCGTGATTCGCATATGATCTACCGAAAATAGCAACAAATTATTGTAAGTCATATTTTCTCCAACATCACCGTTGATAAAATCTCACGGAACTCATTTTTACCTGTGAATAAGAACTTAGTCATTATCTATGTGAAACCTAATTGTCGTAAGTGTAATTGATAATAATATGGTTATGCATAACATAAACCGAATTATAAATTATTGGAAGTTATTGGCCTACAAATTATATTGATATTTACCGTAGCTCATCAGCGAATTTACCAACTGTAGTAACAGCGCCCGGTGTTGGGGCAGACAGTCGATAATCACAGTAATGATGATAATGGTAGAAATATCAATATTTCCTAAACAAAAAGCATTGCTGATAAGCCGGATGACCAGGGCGAAAATTAAAGAAGCAGATAACGGAGAAATAAGCACAGGCTTGATCAACAGTTTGCCATTGAGTGGTCAAAGGATCACGTAAATTTTGATGTTAGATGCAGAATATATGCGAGATATAAATAATTTCGAGATCTTCATGACCAGGAAGAATATATTTTTTTAAATATAATATAGCGGTTTCAGCGTTTATTCGGCCGTAGGCCTGTCGCCGAATCTTAACATTGCAGAACATCCACAGCTTTTTGCGGGCTTGAACTCGCAACTCACTGTTCCAAATGTTCTTTGCTTCCGCCCGGCCTTCTCATCGATTCTGACCAGAAACTGGCGCACAGAACTGCATGGGATCGAACCCGCGCCTCTCTGCTCCAATCATGATACTGAATTCGAGGACCTAAAAATGATTAACCTTCGTTAAAGAAAAAAAATTTGAACACAGAATTGTTTTTATTTGATTTACGAAAGAATTTTCCTCTCCCTAACGTATCAATTGGACCGGCGAATTCAAACTGCCCAGTAGACAGCTCAATTCGTCTGCAGTTCGCCACGACTCAAAAATTTTCCATTATGTTGAAAAAAAAGTTGAGCTAACTAATATATTTCATTCGAATTATTCCAATTATTCATGGCATGCAGATGACAGCATGGCTGCCCTCGCCACCGGGAGTAGCGTGATGAGTGAATATCATATCATTGCAGTGATGTCGGCGCTGAAGAGTAGGCCTGATGTGGCCTGTCGCCGATTCTTTGCTTTTCGTGACGTGTTCAAAAGAAATCTAAAATCGTGTCATTTCACCGGATCTTTTCAAGACTGACGATAGTTTGAAGTAGCTACTAGACTTCCACCGGGTTCGATAAGTAGCTAGGCATTTCAAATCTGAACATATATTTTTCTATAGCTTTATCTAGTCTGTTCTTGAACGCGTTCATACTAGCAACAAACAACTGCTTCATCGCTTCTACATCTTTGAACTCGTAAGAGCGTCTGATCAGTCCAAGATTCTAAAAAATAAGATAATCTTATCTAATCTAAGATAAAATAAAAATCAGTCCAAGATAATCTAAAAAAGTGTATTAGATTTATTAGCTTGCGTTTCAATATGCCCAGAAAATATCAGCACTTTGTCGACACAAACTCCGAAATCTTTTTCCACGCTGTTAAAGTAGTTATTAGACACATCCTAATTCCGTGATTTTTAGTTTAGACAGAATCGACTGGATCATCTCACAGAATCATCTCACGTCCGCACTATAGGAACGCCGGGTTAGTTATTGTCTGGTGCGGAGTCGTGCCGGAGCACAGTATAGAACTTGAAACTTGGAACATTAAATCCTGAACACAACTGGATTTTGACTTCCTCTTGAACATTGTTAGTGATTGGGTTGAAGGACGAAAAACGAGCATGTCTCTATGTTACCATTAGTAAAAACTAGAATGAAGATAACATATACAAACGTTACTAAGTTTACACGCACTGTTTATTATCTATTCAACGGTTCTTCGTAATAAGATAGACACGGTTGAATTATAGGACATGAGCGTTACAAACTTTTACTTAAATTTCCATTTCTGTACTGTTATGAGAAAAGTACATAAGTAAGATAGAATATGAAAAAAGTAATATAGAAGTAGAAAATTTTGGAAGGAGAAACGATCATGAAATCTTATGAATACAAGTACTGAATACAACAAAAAAAGTAAGAAGCTAAGTAGAACAACTATAACAGTTTGACGATGGTGGATCAAGTCAGGAATAAATTCCTTGTGAACTAGAAGCGACACCAACTTCTGTACACTGTTAAGGTCAGCTTGATTATTTCAATAATATTTTATTATTTTCAATAATAATATTTCAATAAAAAACGCCCAACTGAACTTTAGTGAAACTTATCGCCGAATCAACTGACACGAAAGCAAGTTAGAAATGGTTTAAGGTATTTAATAATATATAATATTATTCGAGTAATAATTTAGATGGAAAGTATATCACCAAATTAGAATTCAAAGAGGCATCAGAAGTACGTACTACAACTAAGTGCGACCTACTCATTCGAAATAAAACGAAACGTAAATGAATTCAGCGTGTCAAAAGAAAAACCCATTTGAAACAAAGAATGTTTCGACTACTAGAACTCATTCCCGGCAATGAAATCCATTTAAACATACGTAAAAAATCGAATTGAATGACGAGTATTGCGAAACTATGATTGAAATTAGGTAACTATACGGAGGCTGAATCTTTAATCTTTCATAGTTGAAGTCCAAAGCTTGGCACTGCAAAAGAAGAGTTTGGGATGTTGGATTCTTAGCTGTACAACAGAGAGATAGATATCCCACATCGGTGTCTTTATATGTATACGTGAATAAAAAAAATCAATCCATTTTCATGTCAAATTTCCTCTTGTAAATGGCGATAGAAAACAGAAAGTAAATCTAAAAAATCAACCTACGTCATTTCAAGTATGATCAGTCACTTCATAGAAGCACGCGCGTCGTGAAGAAACTCGAAACATTCAACAAGAATGGCGTGCTTGCTCTAACATATAAGTGGGCAGAGCCAAAGCCAGTCGACTTTAATTCGCAGCACTTTTTTATATAATGGATATTTTGAATATTTTAGTAACGAAAAAAATTCATCCAGTGCCACTATGACATCATATGGGCTTTTCCAAAAAGCCTACTTTAAGCGAGTTTTCCTGTTTTGGCAATTCATAACATGAACGAACAACGTAGCTTCTCTGAGTCAGTTCGCGGTCCGTGCAATCTGTCCCAGTGAACGGAGGACATGAACGTTTACAGTACTAGAGATAATTTTTGTGCAATGACGTAAAAGTGTGCCAGTGACTGATGCGAATTGTACTTTCAGGAAGAAAAATCATTCGTCAGGTGGTGGTGCGTTGCGGTCCCGATCAGGCATTCTGCAATAGACAAAATCAGATTAGATCCATGGAGCATGAAAATCTAAATATTAATTAGTTTTTAGTTAGTCGCTTCAAGTTCACTCCATCAGTCCATGACTGCCGACTATTAAAGTCGAACCCGCCAATTACAGACTAGAAATCTGCCGCTATGTACACCCAATCAGCTAATACCTGACGGCTTTTCAAGCTAAGCCCACCAATGTCAGACGAGAAACTGGTCGCTAAGTTTACTGAAGTTAGTTTCGATAGCACGGCATCTGGTCTTGAAGAGCGGAGTCGCTCAGCCGCTACTGGTGTTCTTGGCTAGCAGAACACGAACTTTAAGCTGACGTCATCACTTAATTTCGAAAGGTGGTTTGCTTTCAAACTGAAACTTGGTTTCAAACCTGAAAATGGAAATTTTGGTGTCGTTGCTCATTTTGACGTCCTGCGACGTGAGATAAATGTGCTGAGTATTTTCGGTGGCTTTAATCATCGTATCCATGCTTTGATTCCGATAAACGAGTTCCTGCAACATAGAAATTACTTTAGATATTTACAATAACGATAAGCTGAACCACATATCTGACGAAATATAATTAGCTGCAAAATTGAACGAAATAACTAGAGGAATCTCGAAAGTTTTTAGGTTCTCTATTCATGAAGAGAATGGAGAACCATTTAGGTTCTCCATTCAGAAAGAAATGATCATTGAAGTTTTCTTTCTTATAAACAATAAATAATTAAGTTAATGGAAGTTAATTTTACGCATTCAAATTTATTGAAGTGCACTTAATATTAATTCAATCTTTGAGTTGACAGTGTAAGCGCATGTTTGTCGGACAAGTATTTGTCCTCAATAGTAAATTGACTGCACGAACTTACACGAAGGCAATACTTTATCAGCACTTGGAAAACTACATGCTTTCAAACTGATACTTGCTCATCACGAAAACGTCGAACTCATCAAATATTCAGATGGGACAAAAGATTGTTTCCCTCTCACCGTGAGAACGTCGAATTCATCCAACATTCGGACAGGACTATCCGTCGTCGACCAAAGTGCCAGCAAAAACGAGACCTTGATGAAAGATCGATCTCGGGCCGACATCTTGGCAATGCTGATCTTCTTTCCTTTACTGTGATATTAGAGAATTAGTGATCATAAAAATATCAACTACTTAAAATATTAAATTCAGGTACATTTTTTAGAGTAAGATTCATGCAATCAATTATATTCATGTGTAGAACTGCCGAAACCATATGGGCCCAGTTCTCAGACAAAAATCTATTCAAAAGAGGCGAGCAGAAATTTCTCCATTATAAATTTTCTAGCATCTATAGACGAGAACTCACGTGGAGGTTACTTTGGATGACCAAGTCTTCCACGTGTTGATTGTGAGCAGTTTTTTTGTGTGGTCGATGTGGATGATGCCCTTTAATTAATGGAAAGATGAAGAGATCCTTTATGGTCATAGAAGTTGTTTTGACATAACAACGTAAATCTACCAACAACGCGTTTCATACTCAACTACAACTCAAACAATTCAAAATGAGATTATATTTTAATTGAATATCATTGATTTCATTGTTTGATGATTGCGAACGCACTCACGTCTATGTTTCTATGCCTCAGAGACCTGGCGAAGCAATGCTGTATGAAAAGTTCATGGTATTTGCAGGTGTCAGCAAAGATCACCTCGAAATCTTCCTGAAGTTTTTGTGAAAGAAAACAGAAACAAAAATTAACTCAATACAATCTGAAAACATAACAGAAGATAATCTCGTGATTAAAATAGCAATTGAAGATTTCGACAAAGAGTATGAAGGAGAAAAAGAATTGAAGGAAGAGGGAACTTCTGCAACAAACGAAAGCAAAGGAAAAAATTTTCGTTTTCTTCTTCCTTAAAGTCAACCGCGACGGGTTGGCCGCAAAATATTCACAGCAGTGTTTTCAAATATCTTTTATATGTGAAGTTCAAAGTAAATTAAACCTCGCTTGAGTTTTATTCTTGCCGTACATAAAGGCTGAGTGCCACCATTCGGTTTGTGATTCTTATCTCTAGACAAACGTTTTTTCTACTGAACTCTGAATTTATTTCGCGGTCTCAATACTAATTTGATACATACAACAATAAAACAAATACAAAAATTTTAAAACCACGTTTTCTTAACGGACAAAAAAAGAAAAACATTACCTCTTACATAACGATGTAAGGGATTACAATATGGTTCGTTTAATTTGTCATTTCCGTTTTGATTCACCACCGATGACTTCGCAAATGAATGTTTACTTATATGTCATTGCTACATTGCTACGTGATCCACCACAGAGGTTAGTACTAGGATTGTTTATCGTTTGTTAATCTTTTGTGTTGATGTAGTGGTGGCCTTTCTGGAAATATTGAATATTATTTTTTATATTTATCATTATGTGTAATATTCAGGTAATTCAATCTTCAATTCAAAAAAGTGTTGCGTTAATTAGAGTCCTTAATTTGTATTTATTTGTGTTTTTTTTCAGCGGGGCTCCGAACTTAGGACATTCTTACGAGTTGAAAGTCAGTGGCTAAAAAGACACACGGTTTATAGGTTTATATTTTGTTTTCTTGTATTTATCGTTCATTTATTAATATGGGTTTTCATTCTTTATTTTTATTCATCCTTTGAAAACGATCACTGGTCAAGTGTTTGGGGTCAGATAATGCTTATTTATTGATTAGTCCCAACATCATGGTGCCGTGACAATAGTAATCGTACCTGGGTAAATGTTTCGAAATAAAGTAACGTAAAGCAAAGTAGAGTAAAGTAAATTAAACAAAATTAACGTTCATGATATCGTGAGTTTCGGATCACCGAACGCGCCTGACAGCTGATCGCAAGACCTTTGCTTATTTGTTGTGCTTCTTGCCCACGAGATCTAACTATTGTTGAAGATGGCAAACGTCCACGAGCGAAAAGATGCAACGTATAGCCACGAAGAGATCTGTTTCATCATGGAGAACCTTGAACATTTCACGAAGTTTTTAGCAAGACGAGAAATCAGAATATTCTCATTCCCCACTGAATACCAAGAAACCTTACGCCAGTTCAAACACAGGTGGGCGCCGTATTTTAGCGAAGAAATTTTCACCAATGAAAGCTTCGTTACCTGTGTACGCTGCAAGAACAGAGATGGTACCACACCTCAGTGCGCACCTTCGAGCGTCAACGAGTCTCGCAAGTTTGGCCGGTATAGTAATTTTCTTTTCCATAACCAACGGTCGAGAGTCCATCGCAAGGCTCTGGAACCTCGTCCAAGGAAGACCGGCAACCAGACAGTTCGAAACGGTCAAAGGTCTGATTCTGGTGATAATGTTGGGAATACTGATGGCGTAGTGGTCATGTTAGTCAAGAATGTCGTGTCAGGTTGAAACAGTGTTCATTTGCGGTTCTGGAAACCATTTTCTCAGAGAGTGTCCTTACTACAGGCGATCTAGTACTGAAACGGTTGCAGATCGATCATCGCCACACACAGCTAGTTCTTGTAAACTTCCCGAACCTATAAATCTAGGAGCCATGAATTTATCTGTGGCCTTAAATGGAAATAAATGGATGAAAAATGTCATTTTACCGAGCAATTTAGAGTTGTCATCGACCGATGCAAGTGATAGTGGATACGCCAATTTTGTGCCGTGTGGTGTAAACGATGGAGACAGTGAGCGCGACACAAAAGATTCTATGAGTGAAGTGAAACAGGAGGAAGATGTTTCTAAACCTATGAACGATCCTAATCAAGTTAGAGAATTTTATGAACTGAAAGCAAAATATCATCTCTACGTCACTTTACAAGACCTCGAAACAGAAGATATTACAGAACAGCAGACACAATCCAATGCGGAAAGAAGTTCTCTCGATTGGAGTTTTGAACCTGATGTTAAAACACTGCAGATGAGGAAAGAAATGCGAAAGTGGAGTGTAAAAATTCGACCCTGGTAGATAGAGATGTTCAGCTCAAGCCTTTAGGTTCATCCGAGTCGATTTCTGCGAAATTTATGTCTGAGAATGGACCAGGCCACAAAGATATTCTCTCAGTAGATAATTTCCTATTGTGGCTAGAGCGGTCGGTAACTGTTCCCGAAAACTTGTTGAACCGTTTAGTCACTGTATCGGGCACTTTTGACTGCAGCTGGCTAGATAATATGTCAGATTTACTTGAGATGGGTGGTGATGCAGGTGATTCGGTGCAGGAAATTATGAGGAAGAATGCGTCGAAGGTTGTGACTGAGCATCTAAAGTATGTGCGGGAAGGGATAAAGGGTTATAAAGAAGGCATGGCAGATCCGTGGCAGAATGAATATGTAGGAGAAAGTGTCTCGGGAGCGCAATGTTTGATGAAGCATAATCATCCTAATGTTAAAGTATAGTGTGATGGATTTGCGTAGAACAAAAGTGCGGTTATGTCTATATCTCAATTTGATGGCATTGATCGTTTTATTTCTAGTGACCATAGTTTCAAAATGTTTCATATTGAATGTGATAGCTCCAATGTTAGGCTAGTCGCCTTGTTAATAAAATGTACATATGCTTCGTGTTAGAATAATAAGGTTAATAATGTGTTATAGCGTGCATTAAAATAGTAATTGAGGAATATTGTACTGAATGTTCGTCGTTTAAAACGGGAGATAAAGGTTCAATCCTTTCACATTAGCTAGAGATTTTTTAAGTGCAATAGAGTTTTTGTACTTGGTGGAGGGTGATGTTAGGGATTACAATATGGTTCGTTTAATTTGTCATTTCCGTTTTGATTCACCACCGATGACTTCGCAAATGAATGTTTACTTATTTGTCATTGCTATGTGATCAACCACAGAGGTTAGTACTAGGATTGTTTATCGTGTGTCAATATTTTGTGTTGATGTAGTGGTGGCCTTTCTGGAAATATTGAATATTATTATTGATATTTATCATTGTGCGTTATATTCATTTGTTAGTGTTGTGTTAGAGTCCTTGATTTGTATTTATTTGTAATTTTCTCAGCGGGGCTCCGAACTTAAGACATTCTTACGAATTGAAAGTCAAGGGCTAAAATGACACACGGTTCATTGGTTTGGTTTTGCAAGAGTTAATGTTTCTCTTTTTTGTCCGTTAAGAAAGCATGGTTTTTAGAAGTTTTTTTATTTGTTTTATTTCATTGCTTTTAGTTTCGTAATCAGCAGAAAAACGTGGTTTTTAAAAACGGTTTTTATATTAATTTATTTTCTACTTTTTAGTTGAGCAATTTTAGCAATTCAAATCATTTTCCAAGGTTGGCAACTCTGGATGTTCTACAAAAAAAAAACTCGATTTCCAACTCCAACCGTGTATTTTTAGTTTTTTTTTCATTTTCTTTAAAAATTTTTTTATTATTACTTCTGATGATCAAATCTTGAATTGTTATGCAGCATAAGCATGCATGCCAAATTTCAAGTTTCTTGGATCTTCAGAAGTGCTCTAAATTAAGGTTTGAATTTCTGATGACAGACAGACAGATGGACACGTAGCAAAACTAAGAAAAACGTGGTAATAACATATTTTTCACCAATAACCTTTGAAGCACGAGGAATCTGAAAATATTTGGAAGGCCATCCCCTCTTTATGCACAAATGTCAAATTACAAACCTTGCGTCTATATTCGACTATTTTTATATCAGTAGAAATGTAGTTATCGCGAAGCAACGACATGTATTTTTCCCAAATACGTCGAATGAGGGAAGCTTCCAAGAATAACTTGTAGAGGGATGAGGGATTCTGGAAATTGGAAATAAAAGAAGTAATCAACATCCTAACATTTATATGCTCAAATCAGAGGAAGGAGCATGTATTTAGGATTCATGAAAGTTTAGAAAATAGGCTGAAGTGATTGAAACAGCATTAAAGTTAATTTAAAATTATCTATCAAGACTAGTGGATGCCTAAGGAATATATATGCTGTCACAATGTTACGGAACATACAATACTCAACCTACTTGGTATTAGATAGTTAGAGATAAGACCATAACTTGGTATTAGATAGCTAGAGATAAGACCATAACTTGGTACTAGATAGTTAGAGATACTTGTTAGAGATACCCAATTTATACTTGTACCAATCACACTGCTTTGAATTATTATTAGGTGTTAGCTGACTTGCATGATATTTAGATGAACATCAAGTTACAAATAATTATAAAACTATCAGAGATATTTTTATCAGTTGATAATGCCCATAAAATGAAATATCTTTATATTATATACATAAAAAACACTTTACTTTCAACTGACCTCAATGGCAATGGAGCGAGCTTCATCTTGGTTCAGGATTACTGCGGGATTACCAACTTGTAGACCGAAAACGTCACGAATGCATGTTAAATGATCTTTATTGGTCGATTTGGCATTACCTATAAAGAAGAACATAAACATTATTCAAATCTAAACATACATTTTAACACATACAATGATGATACCAAAGTACTACCTTTCAGCTGACAGCAAAAATTCACCCAAAGAAAGTAACAGCAAGGTAAGCAAGGACACAGGTAATGACATGCACAATACATTCTAGGAAATTTTTTCTAGACAATGCGAATTCCATTTAAGTAATTATTGATATTCTAATTTCCATAATCTAATCCAGAAAGAAAACTTCCCACTTCAACACCAAGCAAACAATTTATTTATTCTAAAGGTGTTTAATAGCTTTTTCACAAGTGACGGCAGTGGCTCTGGAAATCTCTACTGAACTGTAAAAGCTTTAAAGCCAAAGCCACGGATAATGTTTTCTACACTTCAGTAAAAGATAGTTGTCACACTGCAATACTACAAACACACCAAGTAGCATATTTACAAAGTGACATCTATTAACAAGATATGAAACATGATTCCTAAATGATTCTGATATCAGTCTTACCTCGATGATCTTTAATTTTGTACTGAACAGATCGTTTTAAGAAAATCCTTGTTTCAATTTTGATAGAATGCCCAAATTCTGAAAATTTGTAGGCATTCGAGCCTTCATTAGAAAGTGTAATTTCTATAATTGCCTGCCGTCGTCCATATTGGACCAAGTCTGGAAAGACAAAATATATTAGCAAAAAGCTTATGATTGTACGATAATCCAGGACATATGGGTTTGCTTTAATTTACGTTGCAAATTGATATATCATAAAATAATATGCATAGCATTGAGGAAGTTTCAAACAAAATAAAATTATTTCACCTAGCATTTTTCTGAAAATCAAAAATTATTGTCATCTATGACTGGCATCAAAGATGTATGTATAGAGTAACGCAGTTAACCTTTCAAGTTGGTGGTTCCTCCTAAGCCCACAACAACAGCTATAAGGACCGCACTCTTCCCCGATCCATTTTTTCCTTGGATTAAATTTATTCCGCTACTGAAGGTTATATTCAAGTTTGTATGGCACATGAAGTTTTTAAGGGAAATCCTTTCAATTTTGCCGCAATTTCCAAGCTTTTGTGGTAGGAGTGATATTTCGTTGGTTAGGCAGCTTCCTTCCGCAACAGCCACTGAGTCCTTGACAACTTTTGCACGCTTTGCAGTACTTTCATGTCCGTTGATAGTTTCTTCCAAGTCGCTTTGCTGAAGAATGCAGGTTGGAAAATTGTGGTTAATTAGGTTATACAACAAGCTGCTCACAAATTTGAGGGATATCGAATATTGGTCAATATCTAATCCAAAAAAGTCTTTGCAGTTTAGATATGGTAAATGAAATATCTCAATAAAGAATTGTTTTGTGAACTAAAACTTAACAAACGTAAAAAACAATTGAGGTTCAATTTGGGTCTTGCATATACAATGCATCATGTGACAGACAATTCATTAAAAATGGACAAATTAAATACATATAAGATGTTAAATCAATACAGAAAACTAAAAAAAATCAAAATCTCTCAATATTGTCCTGGGGCCGTATTATCAAAACTTCGTAAGTACGCAAATTCGATTTATGAGTGGCGTAAGTGCTGATATGATGACGTAACTCTAGCGGTGGCGTTATCAAAACATTTGCGCGGGAAGCTACGTAACGTAACTGTACGCCTGCTCGGAGATGTCGTAAGTGGAGTTCCGCACAAGTTTAGAGTGTCTACTGAAGCAATAGGAAACTATTGATTTACTAGCAAGTAGCAACACGATGAATTGTGATAGAATTTTGTCAATAATCCGACATATAATATATGATCGAGCTAAACGGTGCTTTTGGGATAAAAATGTCAATTGCCTTTTGTGGTATAATTTACAAGCAAATGTTGATATTCAAATCTCACAGTTTTATGATCATTCACTTGAACAATATCTTAATGCCTTTTTGATTCAAAAATTATATTGAGGTTGACAAGCCAACCATTTTTCTAGTTCTCTGTAAACGAATTTATTTTTTTTATGACAGTCGCAACTCCAACTCACAAAATTTTCCAAATTCTTTGTAACCTTCTAAAAAATTATTCTAATTTTGGATGGGAATAATGCATTTATTTGCCCTTATGTCAAGAAATTTCGGTTAATTAATGATCACACACAGAAACAAATCGGTGCGTAGAAACTACGCACCGAAGTGACTATCCCGATTTGTCCCAAAATGAGTTGCCGAAGGCGTCTAAATCGCCCCTCCGCCAGCCGGAGCGCGTAATTAAAAGCTATTTTTAGCGCTTAAAAGGAGAAAGCCTCGGTGAACTTACCGCCGACGCTTCTATGCATGCAGTATTGTGAAGGAGAACACCAAATATAATATAGCGGCGGCAATAGCGCATAGGATGAGAGAAAGACTGCTGGAAGTACATCATTTTATTAGAATACCACGATATAAGTTTCGCGTCCACTATTGCTATGTTCAAATGTAAAAATTGTAAACGTTTGAGATAAATTTAAATTCAAATTTATTACTCAACAATACAAATGTAATAATTCGTATGCAATTTATAGCCTAGGATTTTAATGCGCCCTTAATGATATTACGGGGTAACAGATCCGAAGAAAATACATGGCATCGATTGCTGTATAAAATGAAATATTTATTGAAATTCCTACATGGCTCTTCACAACGCAGCTCTCTGAATGTGTCCCTTCGTGTTGAGATATAACCGGATTTAGGTATACATGTTTAATCGTGAAAGTTACATTATATGAGCATAGTATTACAATTAGCTGCATTATTAGATCTAGACATTCTATTTGCAACCCTATATATTCACTTAACTCCGACTCTCCGCTGGAAGAACCATAGCCGACCGTAGCAGGATTCGAACCCGGGCTCGCAGCAGACCGCGCGAAGCCTTTGTCCACTTGACCACGGTAGCACGCACGCATTGCAAATTAAAATAAGCTATTTAGCCTAACTTTCTACATCATGACTGAAAAGGTACCCATTTGCCTACATTTTCTAGATATCATTTACTTCTGTTATTCTTTCGAGAAGAATAATTAAACTTGTGGAAAGTTTAGAATCTCCATCATTTACCATCACAACTTGCAGGTCACGTGCTATCGCAGGGCTGTATTACTGGTAGCATGAAAAATTGATCGACGTTGTATGAGGTGTTGGTGTTTAAGCATTCATCGCACCGCCAATAATTAATACTTGACTTTATTTGGGATAGGTAGAAATAGAATTATTATGTAACTTATTTTACTAAAATCATGGCTATGATATAATAAGCTCGAGGTTAATCTTTTGGCACGCTTTTTATATACATTATTAGAAATAATGAATAAGTTTGAATTAACTGTCTATGACCTTTTACCTGGCTCACAAGTAACACAGACTGTAATCGAACCGTGGTATGTTTCATAACCAATATGACTTCAAAACCGCCTCTGTATTCGAGGCAACAAAACACCAATGATGAAAACTGTAAAGCATGAGAATGTCGTACGTGTGTTTAATCACTATTGCATGATATATTCAACTAGTTATTTTATCACTATTATTAGGTTGATTTAAGCTATTATCAATTTTTGTTAACTATTAAATTCGAACTTGCATGTAAATTTTCGGCATTCCTTATTGGTCCTGCCATGATGTCATCAGCCTAGCAGCAGTGGCTGTCTGTGGTTGAGCGAAAATTAGAGAAAACGGCGAACTAACTGTTGAGAAAACAGCGAACAAAGATTCGGAATGATTCGTTTAGCAGCATTGAGCGTTTTAGCTAGTTGAGATGTCTGCAACTAACGCACCGATTTGTTTCAGTGCAACAACAAGTGCATTGCTATTTGGATAATGTCCCGCTCATTTATCCAAATACACCCTAGTCAGGCACCGCAAATGCCGCTGACACCACACATCCTGCTTTTGTCCAAGCGCACTGCGCACTGGTCGAGAGGAGCTTACTAGAGCTATAGGAACAGCAAATCCAAAGCCTCTGATTGGTCAGTTAGCCAGATGGTTTTGATAATACGCTTTTAGCTAAGTCTTGCGTACAAAAGTTTTGATAATGCAAAAATTAGGGTGTACTTACATAATGCGTAACTTTTTGGTCGCAAGTACAAAAAGTTACAAAATTTTGACAATCCGGCCCCTGGTGTATTGAATATTGTCCTTATACCTAGACACTGGAATGACCCATCAAAATTTTGCTTGTCAAGGATACTCAGAATATTATATTTCAACACCACCTATCATAAAAAATGAGCATAAAAAAATTGAAAACATAAAAATCCCATAGGAATTCAAACATGTAAGCACTTCGCAAAACAAGCCAAGGAATTGCTATGCTGAGCCACTGAATATGAAGAATTTTCTCGACTTATATTAACATTAAAATTTCAAGATGTCGTGATTTGAGCAGCAAGTTGATCCACATATTCATTAATTATACTTCTTTCTTCATACAAAGTTAACTGAAAGTTAACACCTCACAAAATGCATGTTTTTCTACCAGGCAAACACTACCTACCTTTCCTCTTGTCACCCTCGCAATGGCTGAGGGTTGTTGGGGGGCGGTGGGAGCCTCAGGAGCCTCACTAGGCACTTCCCTCTTGCAGGGGGGGACTGGTGGGTCTTCGCAGCTGGGGCTGGGAGGCTCACATGCCTGCCCCAACACAGGAAAATCATACTTGCACTCATGAGGATTAATATATCACCTAGGTAATTCAGTTCCCAAATTAATTGATTACAATCTCCTGATTTTGTGAGTGATATTCAACTACCATTGTGGGTTTAAACCGTTTTGAAGACTCACTTGGAATCATACTCCTTTTCTTTAAAATCCTATGAATAATCTATCATAAATGAACACATCATTGCATACACATTCTTATATTTTCCAGAAGACTAGAATAAATTAAGGATTTCAGATGCCAGCTAACATGGGTACCTTTTCATCATAATTGAATGGTTCTTCTTTTACACTGATGATCTCCATTGCTTCATCTCTCTCTTCCTTGACGCACACAGTTGGAACTTCAGGTGCTGCGGAGGCAGCCCCAGCATCAAAAACTGCAAAAAAAGAAATAGTGAAGTAAGGTGGTAAATGTTTTTCAAGAAAAAATGTTTCCTCAATATAGAAAATATTTATTCATTTCCCAAATAGGCAAATGGTACATACTGTTTTAGTGACAATATTTGCCTATTTTTGTCTGAAAATAAAAATTAAATTAGAAAACCTTGGACTCAACTTCCAACCATGAACAGCACTACTACATACAACCATGCCAATGACCTATAAGCATAGAATGAAGCTAAATGCCAGGCTCACCTTCACACTTCACACTGCCAGCATCAGCACACACTTGAGCGAGGCTTGGAATGGCACAACAGCCCATCCCCACAGCAGCTGCAGGAAGTTGTTGCAACAAAAGCCGGCACTCAAATATATTACCGGGTATGATTGCATGTGATGATGGCAGGTTACATGCACATGAGGACTGTTGGGGGGCGTGGGGAGCTTCATGAGCCTCACTTGTTGCTTCTCTCTTGCAGGGCACACACAGCGGGGGAGGAGGAACCAGTGGGTTCCCACAACTAGAGCTGGGAGGCTCATGTGTCTGCACAAACAGGTGAAAATAATGGTATTGTTCATGAGAAATTAATCTATCTGGAATGTCTTACAGTGCCACATACATTTATAAAGTGTTAGAGATCATTTGGAATATATATTTTAAATATGTTAATTTATACATTTCTTTCATGCAAAACTTTATTGCTTTTTACAGAATATTAAATTACCTTTTCATCATAATCGGATGGTTCTTCCTTCACAATTGAGATTTTCATTGCATCTAACAACTCCTCCTTGATGTTCTCAATTGGAACTTCCTTGATGTTCTCAATTGGAACTTCCTTGATGTTCTCAATTGGAACTTTAGGTGCTGAGGAGGCAGCCCCAGCATCCAAAACTGAACAATGGGGATAGTGAAGCAAGGTTTGAAATGTTTTGCAATAAAAATGTTTCCTTACCATAGAAAATTGTCATGTACTTTCTCAAATAGGTGGAATGTTATATATTGATGATTAAAAAAGAAATTTCTGCCTATCACTTGCCTGAAAATAATTAAATATCAAAATCTTGGATTCAATTTCCAAGCATGAACAGAGCGACTACATACAACCATGCCACTAAACTATAAGCGTAGAATGAAGCTAAATGCCAGGATCACCTTCACACTTCACACCGCCAGCATCAGCACACACTTGAGCGAGGCTTGGCATGGCACACCAGCCCCTCCCCACGGCAGCTGCAGTGAGCGGTTGCAGCGAAATCCGGCACTCAAATATATCATCGGGCATGATTGCATGTGATGATGGCAGGTTACAAGGAACATAAATATTTGCTACCAGAAAATCTGCAACAGCAAAGTTTGAAAAATCCATTTAGCAGTTATATCTACATATTTTTACAAATTTTCCAGCACAAAGCAGCTCATCCAGAGTCTGCAGCAACATATTCCCAATGAACGTGCATGTAAGAGAACATTTAACTGTGCCGGATGTGACTATATTGATTTTTCATAAATTTTTAGGAATCTCATACAAAAGACCTTAACCTGGCATGTGATAAATGTTTGATGGATTTCAATAATTTGCATTAATTAATCATTATACAGAATTAATGTATTCCCAAAGATGGCAGAACTTATTCAATTACTCATGACTGCTAGGTGCTCATAACAAAGTATGGATGAAAATTTGCCACCTTAAACCCTAATTGTTGGTGAAATTCCTACCGGACAGTATACCTATATATTAATTAATAGCGGTTTTAGCGTTTATTAGGCCATAGGCCTGTCGCCGATTCTTAACATCGCAGAACATCCACAGCTTGTTGCAGTCTTGAACTCGCAACTCACTGCTACAATTCTGCTGTGCATAACCACCCGGCCTCCTTGCCGATTCAAACCAGAAACTGGCGCACAGAGCTGGGATCGAACCTGCGCCTCTCTGCGCCAATCTTGGTACTCTGAACTTAAACCACTGGGCCACCCTGTGGTTTATATATAAATACCCTGCACCTATATAAACTTCTTGAGCCACAGGTATGTTGAGTTTCCAGCACCATTAAATTATACTATATCTTGAACAAATGTCCGGGCTAAGAACTTATGGTTTTCCTTCAAAAGTTTCAATTTTACCCCAATAATATAAATAATCAAAATTTCTTTGCAATTTTGCAGACTTATTGGCTGATGAGGCCACAACATTATGATTTCATTTTCATCAAAGAAAATTCCCCAAAATTTAAAATTTTCAAACTATAAGATGTTCACAAACTATAAGTTCCCCATCTAACAAAATTTGTGACTTTGGAGCCTCGGGGTTTCAAATTGACAAATATTTTTTGGAGCTATTTAAATTAAAAAATTTGATCACCTTTATTTAGAACAATACTATAGGGACCCTCCCGTATTGGGGATCCCTATATGATGTTGCAGGGGAGCTGCATTGCTTCTTAGCCCAACCCTTTGGCTTTCAAGCACATTTATTTAATGTCTGTGTGCTGTGTTTTCTCATTATGTAACTTTTTATGTACCTTTTTCTTTTTTCTGTCTAGTCCAGACAAGGAAGTAAAATCATTAATGTAAAGTCAGTTTCAAAGCCAAGCATAATACTTATGCAAAATCCCAATGAATAACTAATAAATGCACCTGTATGGGAACTTAAGCTAACTCACCCCTTAAGAAGTGAGTGATTACTTATTGCATATATCCATTTTGGTACTAAATTTATGTTTGTATGTATTACAAATTGCTTATTCTGTGTAATTTTGCTTTGTTTTCTTATTTTTCATTAATTATGTTCAGTGTATTTTGATTCTGCAAGCTACATATTTTGGTGTTCATTAATTCTTCATTAAGCTGTTTGCTGCAATACAAGTTTGTTTCCTTTTTTTGCATCCATAAGCAACACAGTTGCTCTAAAAAGTCATCATTAAGGTTCTTGGTTATTACTTTTTTCTGCTGGTTAATTTATTGCTTGTTCATGTTTAATCCAATTCTTTATCATATGGTCTCATGGCTGGGTTGAACAAATTTAATAAGTTTTACTTTCTTTCATGGCAGATCACATATGCATCTTGTCCATGCTCCTTAACTCAAGTAGACACCTATTTTCCATGTTACTCACATTCCTCATTTACTCATCCACCACACTTGTGTTCACTTCATAACCAATGGCCATTTAAATGAACTGTAACTTAAATTGTTTTATTTGTCAGTAATAACAGAACAATTTTATTGTCATTATCCACTTCCTAAGTAGGTTGTTGCCAAACTATCAGGGTAGAAGTAGGCAACGTGTTTGCCTCACCCGCGGGAGACACGTGGCAACAATGAGCTGAAGAATGGGCAATAAAGCCATAGGTAGATGATGTAAAAAGGAAAAAACTGCACAATTTCAGAGAAAAATTCATCTGTGCCCATGTCTCAAAATAATAAGTTATGCACAGCATAGATTGAGGATGCAAATTGCTGTGAAGTGGGAAATTCATAGCCTTAAAGGACACCAAGTTTCAAACATGGTAGATGACAGTTGGTGGTTGCCGATTACAGCGTAACATATATGGCTATTCTTGGTGAAAACTATTAATGACAAATGACTGAGACTACAATGTCTTACAAACAAATCAGAAACAAATTATAACCAGTAGCAATCAAATGGATGAAGAATAGCTATCTGTATCATATGATAAATAAGAGGCAAATTATGTGCAAATTTCTTGTGAAAACAAGCACTTCAGAGGCATTTTTTGATTCCATGTAAAATAAACTGCTACTTTGCTCAACATGTTGGACATAATTGCCCACATAGTATGATTTTCATGGGATCCTAGTAGTAACAATTTGGGAGGGGGTGAAATAGCCTAGGGCACTTAGCCTAGCAGCACAAAGCCAGGCATCCATGTTTAAAATATTTTACTTTTGGAACATGACAGATTATTTTTCCCAACATTTTGACCCACTGCACAGGCTAAACAAATTACAGCATAAATTCCGGCACACCTGGCACATCTTCCTGACTAGGGTCATTATCTACTAATAGGTCCATAGATATTATAAATAATTCCTGTGCTTCCCAAATACCCATCCGGAATATGGCACAAAATTTCCCATAAATTAATAAAAAAAATTTGCAATTTTTCTCAAATTACACATGATAAATTTGGCAAAGGCTGCCAGAGAAACAGGTGAAACTATCCTTAAATAAAGGCAATTTTATCTTATTAAAGGGTGGCTTTTGCCATATTTTCCAGTTTGGCCAACAAGTAATACGCTTAATACATAATAAATTAGTCTGTGAGTGGAAATGGAACTTAATATACGTAGCTAATAACAATTGCCTTGCCCAGGTGCAAAAATTAGCCTGAGTGATGTCCCTTCCCAGCCTCTAGGTTGAAAACATGGCGTGATTCTACAAATAGAGGTACTAATGGCTCCACCTTACGGTTGAGCCCTCTGAGAAGTCCGCATGGTATACTACTAGCTTTTTACCCAACACATTATCAGATGTGTTCAATCTGTTCACAAATTCTAATTTCATTTTCAAGTTTTATTATTTTACTATACCAGGACAGTGATAGTTTATATTGAGTACTTTCAGAGATTGTTTTGTTTGACTGTTCTACTTACAATTTGATATATTTTTTTGTATCACCATCACAGGTTCACAATGGCTGCGCCTCTTCTGATTGCTTTTGTTACAAGAACTCAAGAAGTAAACAATAGCCTGTTTTGAGGAACACCAGCTGTTAGATTGGGATTCAGTCAATTGATAAGTTCATTGAAGTAAACAGGTTTGATCAAATTTTTGTTTCTTCTAATTACCGTCATATGGGGTGATAAGGTACGGTTTTGACCATAATAAGGTCTTTGCAAGGGCTATTGTATGGCTTCTCTGAAAAAGTTCCATATGCTATTTGTAAGGTGTCAGACACAAAATAACAGCATCCCAAATTACCCCTGGAAATGGGGTAATCCTGGACACTTGAAATAAACATAATTTTAAAACGTTTGAAGCATGCAGAGTGTACTCATTCATTACTAAGAGTACTCTGAAGTCCTCATTTTGTAGATGATGTAGAATAAATGACATTTTCTCTGATTTTTGCTTTTTTCTTCTATTGATATATCATGATTATGGCAGGATGGCCTAGTAGTTAAAGTTCAGAGTACCAAGATTGGAGCAGAGAGGTATGGGTTTGATCCCAGTTCTATGTGTCAGTTTCTGGTAAGAATCAGCAATGAGGCCAGGCCATTAAGCAAGGAAAATTTAAAGCAGTGAGTTGCGAGTTCAAGCCCGCAACATGCTGAGGATGTTCTGCAATGTTAGGCCTACAGCCTAATAAATGCTGAAACCACTATATTATATATATATATATTACCATATCCATACATTACCACATTATTTATGTGATTTTGCTACATCCATGGTCATGCCATTGAGCATTAACAACAACCTTGTGTACTGCAAGCTTCATATCAGCCGCCATATAGCATGTGTATTGTGTAAGCTTACAGGACGGCTCATAATTTTGCACCATTCTAATTGGGCCAAGTAAATTCACTATAACAAAAGATGATCATAAAAAACATACCTGAAACATAAAGGAATTTTTATTGATAACCATCATATTTTTGGAGAAATAAATCATAGTTTAGATTATTTGCTTTACATTCTATGTTGCCTGCCACACAATTCTATCTATGACATTCTATGCGTAATTTTGTGATGACCGTTGATGCATTAATTTTTCACCAAGTGAAATTTTTTTGCTGAGCAAGGTAAATGTAATCAAAATTCTTTGTTATACAATTGTTTTTTGTTAACTGGAGCCTTTGCTAACCAAGGTTTTACTGTAAATGCGTTTTTAGGGGCATCCTTTATTGCCTTATTTTAGGGGTGTCCCTGGGGAGGGTTGTCCCTTATTGCCTCATCATCTGGAAAAGGCCAACATTTTTAATGAACTCTGCAAATTTCATCAATCATGTTTTTAAGCCAACACCTGTGTGCAACTTTTATCTAAATAAAATTTTTAATACAGTGAATAATCTCTTTTGCACACTTTTTATCAAGGGATTTTTTAGAGGTAATAAATGTGTGATTTCTTAACTTGCTCTATGCTACATAGATACCGTAGTAAAAATACTCAACTTTACACCACTATTTTTAGTATGGCATTATTTTCATTAGTTTAGCTTCTACAAAATGTCAAAGGACTGTCACATTAACCCCGCCTGTCCCTTTTTACCCCATTTGACAGTATACCAACAATTAATTTCAGATGACACATTTCTACAGAAAACATTGTAAATTTTGTCAGAACTAAATAAAGGCTTGCAATCATAAAATA